AAGGTAGTCCTTTATACGTGCATGCAGGTGAGACTTCTTGCAACATCAGTCATTTATGAAAATCTGTCCTATAAGCCACTCGTGAGGCTGAGGTACCGACCTCAGAGCTCGGTGTCAACAGAGCTTGCCAGGGTAGACAACTCACATGGAGGCAGTCCAGACAAATTTTCACATGTATCCCATTGAGGCCCATATCTTCAGGAATAGGCAGTGCTCCCCACCAACTCTCAAGAATTCTTGCAAAATACCTCTCTAAACACTCGGGCACAAACAGTCCTGCACATCTCAAACACTCGGGTGATCGCAGTCACATTTGCAACATCAACATCAAGAACAAGAAACTTTCTAGCCTTGACGTAACTTCCCTATTCACCAAAGTACCTACTACACAAGCCATCGATCTCTTGCGCAGGAAAATTGACGATTCACTTGATCTTCCTATTCCAGCCAGCGATTTCATCGACCTTGTTGAACTATGTGTTGGCTTTACCTGTTTCTCTTTCAAAAATCACCTATTTCAGCAGACTTTTGGACTACCCATGGGTTCATCATTCAGTGCCATCCTGGCAAACCTATACATGGAACATCTGGAAGCCGAGCGTTTCTCCAACATTATTCCTTCGTCTGTCACCTGGCTCCGTTATGTTGATGACATTCTCCTCATAACTCCCAGATGCTTCAATATTCAAGCTCTCCAAGACAAGCTCAACCAGTTCGAGCCCTCAATCCAGTTCACACTTGAAGAAGAAGCCGACAGCACTCTTCCTTTCCTCGATGTTCTTTGCAAAGCTGACCATTAACTTCGTTTTAAAGTGTCGAAAACCCACCAACCAAAACGATCTTCTCCACTTCTACTCTCACCACGACACCAAAACTAAACGTGGTGTAATTATAGGCTTTTTCCTGCACGCACTCAGAATCTGCAGCAGTGAGCTCCTTGAGGAAGAATGCACTATAATTGAACAAGTATTTTCCAAACTTCACTATCCTCGTCACTTCATCAGAGACTGCAGACGACGGGCATTAAACATCTTCACACCCAGAGAAGACACTACCGAGAAGAGATACATAGTCCTCCCCACCAACTCCATTGCCAAACATGTTTCCAACATCTTTTCCAATACCTCATTCCAAGTATCTACCTCCACAAAGACGACCATCAAGGACATTACCAGTAATAGACAGGACAAGCTTCCATCTTCTGCAAGGGTATACATAATCCCTTGTAATGACTGCAGCAAATTATACGTGGGCGAAATATCAAGAGACCTCCAAACACGCATTTCAGAACACCAATACGCAAGCAGGTCTGACGATCCAAGGAATGCCTGTGTACAACACCGTAATTCACAAAACCATTTAATAAACTACAGAAACTCAAGACTTTTCACCATAGAAGACAACACTCAGTACCGAAGAATCTTGGAATCATTGCTTATCTATATATCCAACAACTTCAACCAGAACAATGGCTTCTATAACATAGCTGAACCACTTGCCAAGAAACTTCTTCATCGCTATCCCACATAAGAACATAGGAATGGACGAACACTGCAGAAGGTCTTTTCACATACTTATCCAATCTCTCTTCCAAGCTACCCAAGTTTTTAGACTATAACCCCACTCGATAGATCAGATGCAGCATTCTCCACCTGACCCAGCATTCTGAACCTGACTATAAATACTCGCGCACCTTACACCCCAGGCAGATCTGTTTGTGACTTGAAAAAGTCCACTGTGTGGGTGAAACATTGTCAATAAAGGATCACATTATACTGCATATGTGTTTATATTTCCGTAACAGCTTGGTACCTGAAGTCTTTGTGGAAAGGGATTCCTTTTCCAAACTATTGTAAACTCCTCCATCCTCTTCCCTCCTCCTGTCTTCCATACATCACCATGTCTTCAATAAAGGTAAGTGTGATGTTATTGTTGTTTTATTCTTCATGCATCATTGTTTTCTGTGTAGGTAAATGTATACTATTTCATGTAGAAAACATTTTTTTAATACTTATGGGTGTCTGAAATGGATTAATTGGATTTCCATTAGTTCTTGTGGGGAAAATTAATTTGGAATAAGTCAGATTTGGGATAAGTCGCTCTCTCTGGAACAGTTTAATTACATAATCCGGGGGTCCACTTTATTTCACAGATGATTCCATAGAGAAGTACCTAGTTAAGTGAAATCATAATTTGTTTTAGGATTATTTTCATGTTTTATTGCCCTTCTTATATGATTGTGCTGTTTTATTTTTTATTTTTCTTTCTTATGCCTGAAATTAAACTTCGTATATACATTATATGTATCATAAAAAAATTTCACTGTTCAGGTGCTTATCAACTGAGTACAAAATCAATTTTAATTTCAGTCTAAAACTAGCAGCTTAACTTTAAGAGTTTTCTTTGTTAATTTCATTTACCCATAATAACAAAGATTTTTTACCTACTAAATTTTTATCACTGTCAGTATTGAATTAATTTAACATTGTTACAGTACATA